GGGGGGGGGGGGGACTATTTGTTGGTTTTCTTGTTAGACTAGGCCCATTTGATAGTGGGTGATTCTTTTTATATTTTACTTTGGGCCAGTAATACCCGGCCGAATCTTGTATTTAATGAAGGCCTAATTTTTGTATAGGAACGGATTCATTTTTACACAGATAATCGAAATATCTAGAAGTCTCTTTTCTCTCTTTCTAATGGAAACACTCGTTTTCTAATCTCTCAGACTCTCAATCTGAGAAGTATGTCAAGTTTACATGGTATCAGAGCGTAGATCCTTCTATGGCACGTTCTCCGCTTTCAACCGGTCCTGTTTTCGTCAATTTCGAAGGTGTATTTCATTCTAGGTGATGTCTGACTCATTTAGGGTTCAAGTCGGTATTCTTCAACCATTTCTATTGATTTTTTGTTGATTTCTTAGTCGGATTCTCACATATTCAACATTTGTGATCTCAAATTGTTTGGTTGGTAATGTGATTTGGGGATTTTGTGGTTTTCATCTCGAGCTAGGGTTTCGAAGTCGTCTACTGTCAAGCCGGAGATTCTTCTTTCTCGTTTGTGATTGAAGGCTATTTTCTCCTTTTCGATCGCGAAAAGAGCTGGGTAACTTCGTATCATTTTATTCACCATTATTGTGAATTGCATGCCTATTTGATCTATGTTAGATAGTTATGTACATAATATGAATTAATCCTAGTCTTATAAATAGGGCTCATTGTATTATAATTAAATAGAATATCAATAATATAGATTTTTCTCCCGTACTTTCTCACATGGTATCAGAGCATTGGTGAGATAATTATCGTTGTGCGTCATTCCAACGACATCCGGGAAGAAATCAGTCGTCACCGTGCAATTTTTTGGTGACCTGAGTAGCTGTTCGCATCAAAACCACTTTTTACCAGTGTTGTGCATAAACCAACACCACCACAGTGTTCTCCATCTCCGGGGGAGCAAACCCCACAAAACCCGACCGGAAAAACCCCACCCACGCGCCATCACGCGCCAACCAAAGTGATTTTTTTTTTCGGCGAGATCTGTCCACGCGCCGGTGCGTGGACCTCCTTCTGGTCAGTTTCTGACAAAACTCCTTTTGGACAGCCTTCTTAGGACATTATTCCGAGTCGGTCTATTCAAGTTTCATCAAATTCCGGCAACCTTTTTTATTTTCCAGCGAGTGAACAATGTTTTCCAAAAAAAAAAAAAGGGGGGTTCTGATTTGGCATTCCAAGGTTAACCACACAAGTTGTAATCAAGAATTTGAGAAATTGGTTGTAGCAAAATGGAATCCAATACTACGAAGAGTTGGATGGTTTCTCTACCGGATTATATTGAGTTCCTTCAGTTCAAAACATGTAAACAAACATCTTCAGGGATAGCTTCCGTTGCTCAAACAGATAGTAGTGTGACTTGTGTCTCCCAATCTTCAACCTCTGAGTCTTGGGTCATTGATTCAGGTGCATCTGATCATATTTTTGGTAACAAATCTCTTTTCATTACTATTTCATATTCTCAATCACTCCCAACAGTCACAATGGATAACGAGTCTCAAACCATGGCAACTGGAATAAGCCAAGTAAGTCCACTTCCTTCCTTACCTTTAGATTCAGTTCTTTATGTTCTCGTTAGTCTTTTTAATCTCATAGCCGTTAGTCGCTTAGCCAAATCACTTAAATGCTCTGTTTTATTTCTTGATGACCTTGTTTTTATACAGGAACGCAGTACAGGGCGGATCATTGGTACCGGGCGTGAATTAAATGGATTTTACTACCTTATTCTTGCAAAATCACATGGACTTACATCTTGTCTTTCTTCAACAACTTGTCCTGTTACTGATTCACCAGATCTATTACATAAACGGTTGGGACATCCCAGTTTGTCAAAACTTCAAAAAATGGTATCTGGTTTATCTCACTTGTCCACTCTAGAGTGTGAGTCATGTCAGCTCGGTAAGCATACGTGCTCCCATTTCCCTCGCCGTCTTGATAATCGAGCAGAGTCAGTCACCTTTTACTTTAGTCCATTCAGATGTTTGGGGTCCTAGTCAGGTCAGTTCTACCTTGGGATTCCGCTACTTTGTCAGTTTCATTGATGATTATTACAGGTGCACTTGGATATTTTTGATAAAAAATCGATCTGAGTTGTTTTCTACTTTCCAGACCTTCCACGCTGAAATTCAAAATCAATTTGGGGTTTCTATCCGCATATTTCGTAGTGATAATGCCTTAGAGTATTTGTCTTTCCCATTTCAACAGTTTATGAACTCTCATGGGATTATTCATAAAACATCTTGTCCATACACATCCCAACAAAATCGGGTAGCTGAA